GTTATTGTGCTTTGGTTGCTGGGAGCATTGTGTCATGGAGGAGTAAGAAACAGTCTGTTGTTGTTAGATCCTCAGCTGAAGCAGAATACAGGGCAATGGCACATGGTGTGTCAGAATTATTGTGGCTACGATCCCTTCTAGAAGAATTGGGGGTGGACTACGAGAAGCCAATGATGCTCTATTGTGACAACCAAGCTGCTATCAACATTGCACATAATCCTATTCAACATGACAAAGCTAAGCACATTGAGGTTAATAGACATTTTATAAGGGAAAGAGTTTCCTCAGGGGAAGTTTGTTTGCCATTCATCACATTAAAAGAGCAACTGGCTGATATCTTCCAAGGGAGTTCCAAGAGGGAAAATGACACACTATATAAGCAAGCTGGGCATGATTGACATCTATGCTCAGCTTGAGGGGGAGTGTAAAGAGACTAGGCCGAATGGGCCCTAGCATCTTCTCTTGTAATATCTTTTATTTTATTGTTGGCTAATGGGCCTGTTATTTCTCTTTGTTTAATCTCTTTATGTTACTGCCTAGCTGGCCACCCACTTAAGGGCATACTTGTCATCACTCTATTTTTAATACTTAATAAAAAGGGTTAGAGGAGAAAGGAGAACAGATTCGACTTCTTCTTCTCTTTCCTTCTCTTTTCGCCATCTTCTTCTCGTGTATTGCTGCTCTCACTTCTCTTCTTCCTTTCTTCTAATCTTCAAGTTTACACCTAAGATTTGAGGACTGATTTGCATCTCAACTGAGGAGCCATTTACTAGGATCGAGAGCCAAACTGATCTAATGCACCCTTTCATCCACTTAATCCAAACTTCCCCAAAACCTCTGAGTTCCAAGATCCTCCAAAGGCAATTCCAATCAACCTTGTCATAGGCCTTCTCCAGATCTATTTTGCATATAACCCCACTTAGCCTTCTCTTTTTCCTATCCTCCACTACTTCATTCGCAATCAAAACCCCGTCCACAATTTGCCTCCCTTGGATGAAAGCACTCTAAGTAGGTGCTATCACTTCATTCAGGGTTTTCTGGAGTCTGTTTGCCAAAGCTTTTGCAGTAATCTTATAGAGGCGTTTTAGTAAGCTGATAGGTCATTTATCAAAAAAAGAAAAAAGCTGATAGGTCTGAAATCTCTGACACTTAGAGTCTCAGACAACCTTCCTTCTTAGGGATAAATTTGATAAAGGTAGAGTTTGTAGCTTTATTGATTTTTGTTGACCTGTAGAAGTCTGCAAACACTTCCAGTAAGTCATGTTTCACTAAATCCCAACACTCATGAAAGAAACCCGCTGAGAAACCAACCAGAAATCTTCTCACCATTCCAAGATATCAGATTCGGCCACCAAATCCTATCAGATGAGTACAGGTCCCTAAAAAAATCCGCAATCTCCTTTTTGATCTGATTTATGTCAGCCACTTCTTGACCATCAACTTTCAGTTTGGAAATCTGATTTTTTGTATTCTGAGCATTAGCATATCTGTGGAAGAAGCTGGTGTTACCATCACTGTCCTTAATCCATTGGATTCTTGACCTCTGTCTCCAATATCTTTCCTCCCTATCCACTAATGTCTCCCATTCAGAAAGAGCCCTAGCTTTCCTTTCTTTATCCGAATTAGAAAGCTGCCCCAAGGAATCCTTTTTCATCCAGCAAAGATAACTCTGCCCAAATTTTCTCCTTCTCTTTTGAAATAGGACGAAACACTTCTTTACTCCAATCTTTGAGTTTGTTCTTCACAAATTGCAATTTTTTTTGAAACTTGAAACCTGGCCATCCCTCCACAACACAATCCTTCCACCACTTGGAAACTTCAGTTTTGAAGGAGTTGTGTTGAATCCAAAAGTTTTCAAACCTGAATGGGGGTTTAGAAGGGTGAGGCTTTTCTGTACTGTGGATCACTGGCCAATGATCTGAAGTGCTTTGGACTCCAATTTCTTGGAAAGAGCCAGGCAAATGATTCTCCCAATCTGAAGAGAAGAGGAACCTGTCAAGGCGGCAGTAGATAGCTCTTGCTTGCATGTTTGACCAGGTGAATCTGGCATTCTGCAGAGGTGGGGTCTAAGAGAGAAAATTCTTGAGTAAAATTGGAAAAGAGATGCATGCTTGATGTCTGCCTTCTCCCATTAGATTTCTCTGAGGTAAATCCGGTCACATTGAAATCTCCAGCGACACACCAAGGAAGGTGTCCATGAGTTCCTATCATCCCTAACTCTTCCCATAACTGTGGTCTCAATCTAGAGTTATTTGGGCCATAGGTCCCTGTGGAAATCCAAGTGAATCCATCTGCTAAATTGGTGAAAAGGATCGAGATTGAGAATTGTCCTCGATCGTCCTCTACTACTGACATGACACTTTCATTTCAGATGATAAGGAGACCTCCCGAAGCTCCTGTGGCTGCAAGCCAAACCCAATTTTTATTTCTGACATCCCAAATTGCCATCATCGGCCTTCTATCAATCCCAGTGTTTTAAAAGGTGTGGGAGGCGTACGCCTCTTGCGCTTTTTTCATGAGGCGTGCTAGAGGCGTACGCCTCTTGCGCCTCATGCACACCTGATATGAAAATACAGGAAAAAAAAAGAAAAAAGAAAAAAAGGAAAGGAAAAGAAAAGAAAGGGAAAGAAAAGGAAAGGAAAGAGAAGAAAAAAGAGAAAAGGAAAGAAAAGAAAAGGAAAGGGAAGGGAAGAAAAGATAAGGGGAAAGAAAATGGTTTGCCCCCTGCCCCTTTGGCTTGGAGAGCTCACTTTGCTCGCTCGTCTTCGCTTCGACAAGACCCACCCTTTGAACTACTGTTATGCATCTTTATTCTTCTTAATATAAAAATTTTTTATTAAAAATAAAGAAAAAAATGAGATCCCCCCTTCCTCTTCATCCTCCTCTTAACCCCCTTCCTCTTAAGAAGGCTTACGCTTCCTTGTGTTTGGGAGGCTTATGCCTCTTGCGTTCTGAATTATGCCTCATGCCTCTAGGTTGTGGAACGCCTTGCGTCACGCCTCCGCATTTTAAAACATTGATCAATCCTTTCTTAGTTTCTTGAATTACGACCAAGTCTGGATTTTCCCAGGTGAGAGTCTCCTTCACTAAATTTCTTTTTTGACCCCCTCCCAAGTCTCTAACATTCCAAGTCAACAGCTTCATTAAGACTCAGCTATTTTCTTTCCCTGATTTCTTTTCCTCCCTACACTCTCCCTGGCTTCCTCCCTGATTTCTTCTCTTTGGAGACATGTGATAAAATTTGAATGGTACAGAGAAGATTAGCATGGCCCTTGCACAAGGATGACACACAAATCGAGAAATTGTCCAAATTCTCAATTCTTTGATAGCTGCTAATTGTTGAATTTCCATATTTTATCATTTAAAATCTTGGAACCCCTGCAAATGAGAAGTTTATGGAAAATTGAGATCCATTAGGCGATAAGTAAACAATTAGAAGAGTGCATAACATCCATCCTACACCATAAAAATCACACTTGAGGGGCTGTTTGGTAACAGCTGAAGTGGCTGAATTGAATGGCTTATTGCTTTGTCTTTTTAGCAATTAAACAGATTATAAGGTGGGTGGTGAGCTTGTTCATGGCTGAAACCGAATTTGGGTTGATCATAAAAAGAGAGCAATGAGTAGTTCAGTTCAACCACTTCAACCATTATCATACACACCTCAAAGATTGCCAATGATTGTTTATCATAGAACTGTTTGGTTATCTTTTCATTTCTTCATGATTGTTGAAAATGTTTATTTTTCTTTCCAAAACGAGAGATTTCTGTGCAAAAAGGTCTATTCATTTTCCTTAGATGAATGGGAAAAATAGATCCACAAGGAATTCAAGGACATTCATTTTTCTTTATTTTATCTTTCTCAAAGTTTCTAACTAGAGGAGGAAACAATTGTCTTGTTTCTCATATTCATGGTGGCATTGCATCTCTTTGTTTAGCACCAGGATTGCCTATGTGCTTGGAGAGCCCATTGATACTCTTTTATACACACGTGTCATTTTCTTTTTCATGGGAACTTATTCCCTTTGGTAATATATTGCTCAACCAATAAAAGAAGGAAAAAATCAGTAACAAGAATATATTATGTTAGTATAAAGGAATACAGGGAAAGCCTTTCAAATATATGTACTCTAAGCTATACATGTTAGTTGTAATTGTTCCATAAACATTGACCTTCCTCTTTGATATGATGTCTGGTTTGTTTGTGAATTGGTAATGGTTCAGTTCTAGGACAAAATAAAAGAGAAAGAAAGAAGAAGGAGAGAGAGAAGGAGAAGAAGATGGAGAGAAACGAAACGACTGAAGAGAATTCAAACTTTCTCCCAGTCGACCGGCTCTTTATTTATTGGTTTTGTGATCAACAAAGACATTTATGTCCCTAATTAAGTATGGGGCAAATAACTTAAACTGAGACAAAATAGACAAAGCAACTATTAATAAAACAAAGGATGAAGACTAAAATACCCTTGACTGTCGACTCTAACATGAATAAACTGTGGAACATCCAAACATGGTAGTAGAGTACCGAGATAACAGATTACCAGGAGAGGACTACATCTAGAAGATACAGGTAGTATTTTTTATGGCCACTTGCTGGAATCAGACAATTGTTTCTCCAATGTCCAACCAGTTGGAGGATCTGATATGATGTTCTCCAGAAGCCTGTGAAAGAGGTCATCTTTAGCTTTACAAGAAAAGCATATTATCATCTTGTCCACCCCTCTCAGACCCTAGATAACTGGGACCAACATTGGGTGATGGCCTCAGCACATATTTTAGCCTTATCCTTAGTCTTTTGTTCTTTGTAGAAGATCTTTATAATCACGACACGCATGACTTGTCTTACATTTCTATAGAAAGGAATGTTACATTCGGAAGAGAACATTTATGAATAGCATGATAAAACTGTTTTTTTTTTTTTTTACACTTTCTCCTTTGCACACTGTTTGTTTCTCATTAATACCATTATAAAATTCTAATGATCATAAGTTAATTGCCAGGTCTATACTGTTAACCTCATTAACAGTGACAAATTTAAATCTGGTCAAGATAAAATTATCCAAAATGATGTCAAAAGTGATGACAATTATGTAGTTGTGTTGGGAAGAATCCCCGTGATGGTGAGGTCAAGTCTTTGTTGGATGAATGAACTTGGAAAAAGTGATTGTGATTTTGATCATGGAGGCTATTTTTTGATCAAGGGTACAGAAAAGGTCAGTTTCAACTTTCAAATTTACGTTGCTTTTGACCATGAATGTTTTGGTATTTGCATATCAAGTTTTATGATGGCTGTAAAACTTTACCTTTTGTGTCTTCATCTGGTGAATGATTTGTATATGATTTATATGCTGCAAGATGAAAAGAGAATGTAATTTTTTATGTACGGGGCTTAAGTCCCTTGTGTACTTGTATGAACAAATTGTGTTTTACCTATAAAAAAAAATTGTTTATGTTGGTCCATTTTGTGTTTAGGATTCTTATAAATTGAAAATTGGGACTTACTTGCAGATATCTTTTTCTTTTTTTGTTTTTTGTTTTTGTATGCTGCATTGTCAAATAACAAGAACAGTAAATAACAAAAGAGAGAGAGAGAAAAACGAAGACATCATTAGATTGCTGGGAATTACAGTTCATCTCATTAAATCAGCTTTTGGAATAAAGTGATCAGTCCTACACGCATGCCTGTTCTCCATGTTTAGTTTTTGTAGACATTTGTTTAGGTACCTTATAAGTTATATTTCTTCATCGTTTGTGTTTTGGTTGCTTTCTACATTTCTACCGTATTTTTCTTGTAGTCTCGTATCTTGCCCTTTCTTCTGGCTTTTACTTCTGGATGTCTGGTTGGAGTGATTCTGGTAGCAGGTTCAGGTTCTGCTCTGTTCTATGCTACATGCCCATAACCCATTTAAGGTTTGACACCTAATGTTTCTGATTGGAAATCATGTACTTGCTTTTGAAATTGAACAAAAAGGAAGTAAAAAAAGGTGCCAAAAAAATGCATTGGTCGTGTTTAAGATCACTAGATACTAATCATCAATAAGGAAATTAAGGGTTCACTAGTGAGGAAACTTGGGACCTGTGCGATGCATGGGCTTTGTTAAGCTGAATTGAAGTAGAAGGAGCCCTATAATATTCCCAAGCAAGCCAAGTAGGGATGATCATGGGGTTTGCAGGGCTAGGTTAGTTTTTTATAAGGTATTGACCAGTGTTTTACCGCCATTGACCCGGACGGTTGGATCATTTGGCTTGAGAACCGTCCAGGCAAGTGGTTCTGTTTCATCGTCCTTGGCAAAAACCTGTTGATTTGGTTAGCGACCTGTCAACTCAGGCGGTCAAACCGTCGACTCATTCAACAGGATTGGTCGTTATTTTATTTTATTTTTAAGTTGGAACAGGCTGTCTGTTCGAACCTAATGGTCGAATAGTCAACGCGGAAACTGGTGGCCAGAACAGTTCCGGTTCTGGGTTGGCTTTTAAAACCTTGGTATTAACAGCCTTAAGGCTTAATCTGGCCTAGACAACCCACACCCCATGCCTGATAATAAATGAGTGGGCTCGGTCTTGAGCCAGTTTGGCCCATATGAATTAATAATATTATATTTAAAAACATTAAGATTTTAATTTTTATAATAAAAATTACAAAAGATAAAGTAAGTTAATTAAATTAAATAAGTACATTATGTTAAATTGACTTAATATTTTTTTTGTTCTTTATTAGTAATTATATTATATAAAATTAATTAAAAATAATATTATATATATTAGGTATTATTTTTAAGTTTACTATTTACATGTATTAATAAAAATAAATGGAAATTAATATTTTAATTTTTAATAATCTTACTAATATTTAAAAACACTAATATTTACATAACCCATATCATGCGCAGGTTACCCATGATGAACCCACACCTAACATGGGCTACCGTGTAGGAGATGGTTTTGTGATTGTGTATGATATGGGTTATATCTGAATCTAATTATCCAAGTTGGTCGAAAATGGGTAAAATGTAACCTGTTTTGAATGTCTTCTACAATATAGCTTTAGAAGACATTTGGGCCAAACTAATTAGATAAATATTCATTTATATTACTTTAAATGGGAGTTGTAATCATTCATGGAGAGAGAGAGACGAGAGAGAGAAAGAGAAGAAGAGGAAGATATGATTGAGAGAAAAAGAAAAAACACTTCTGGTTGCCGCCAGTTCATTATTTATATTAACTTAATATAAAAAGAAAGGAGATTACAAGTATGCTCCTGGCGGCACTCCCTAGAAACAAACTAATAAGAAAGAAAGAAAATAACTAACTGACAGCATCTTAAGCTGACAACCCACTAACAGCAGCTATAAAATAACAATTAAATAATCCTCACAACAGGAGTTAAATGGATTTTAAATTAATAAAAATTAATTTTAAAGTAACTATTTAATACTTTACCTGTTTCAAATAAAAAGATTTTAAATTAAAATTAATATAAAAAATTAAAAATTGTTAATTATTATTATAAAATAGAACATTTGAACTGTTAACAGACTCTTTCAATTTTTAGTGGTGTAGGTTTGATCTTGCAACTATTAAAAATACTATGTAATGTAACCAGAAAAATGAGTTAAAATAATCTTTTAAAATAATTTACAATAATAAATAGTAATGCGAATGGGGACAGCAGGTTTGCCACCACTTTCTCTAACTTCTCAACAACTCTGGAATTAACGAGTAAAATAATAAGCGTTTTGGGCTTACATGGGTCTAGATCCCCCCTTTCTTTTTCACTGATAGTTGCTCTCCTTTTCTTTGACATTGATGGGAATAGTTCCTTTTGCAGCTTTGTTTCGAGTATCAAAAACAGGTCCTTCCCAACTGTTTTGATCTGTCTTTTGCCACCAAGACAAACTATGCCAAAGCAGAGTTCATGATGACCAAAAGCGGAGGGGTTTGATATTGCATCAAGCCGGCGACCGACCTCTTGAAAGAGACAAAGGCCTGAATTGGGGGGGGGGCTTGTGTTTGTTGAAGAGAGACAGAGGAAGAGACGAGGGATCAATTTTCTTTGAAAAAAAAAAGAAAAAACTAAGAAAATTAAGGGGGAGGGAGGATGGAGAGGGGGCACTGATGTGGACCACATTTCTTTTCTTTTCTTTTTTTGAGTAAGAACATTGCTTTAGTATATAGGTATAGATTCTGTAGCCTGGCCTGATGCTAGGTTGTCATCTTGGTTCAATTACCATTAATATGCTTTTAGTTCCTCAGAACTGCCATGGGCCTATCTTGGGCATACGTTACCAATTTTGCATATCTAGTTCTCTTGTGCTTTGAGGACATGGTTAACTGAATGAATGTCATTGTGTTAAATTATTAACCAACTTTTTTGATAAATGAATATGATTTTATTAATGAAAAGATCAAGAGGTTAAATCATTACAGTTTAGCAATTATTAACTGGCTTTTATTCTTAGAGTAATTAATATTCTGATATTTAGGGATTGGTTGTTGAGTGTTGAATACATGTACAGACTTTCTGTTACTGTTGATATTTATGCTAATTAAGAGTGAAATAAATTCATGGGTTGTGCTAGCTTTGATACATTAGGGATGTAATTTCTATTTGTTGTTCACTGCAGACCTTCATTGCACAAGAACAGATATGCTTGAAGAGACTCTGGGTTTCTAGTAAACCAAGCTGGATGGTTTCATATCGTTCCAATTTGAAGAAGAGAAGAGTATATATAAAACTAATAGAAACTCCTAAACCTGAATATCTTCAAGGAGGGAATGTCCTTAATGTGTATTTCTTGTCTTCTACAATTCCCCTTTGGATTTTGTTTTTTGCACTTGGTGCTTCATCAGATAAGGAGATTGTTGAAATGATTGATCTTGATATTAGTGATGCCACTTTTGTAAATATATTGCTCTCTACCATATGTGATGCTGATGAGAAGTGCGAGGGTTTCCGTAAAGAAGGAAAAGCTCTCAAACATATAGATGAACTAATTAAAAACACAAAATTTCCACCTACAGATAGTATAGAAGACATCCTGAATAATTCCCTATTTCCTGCTCTTAGCAGCTATAGAGAAAAAGCTCTGTTTCTTGGATATATGGTAAAGTGTCTTTTATTATCCTATACCGGGCGAAGAAAATGCGAGAACAGGGATGACTTTAGGAACAAAAGGTTAGAGCTAGCTGGTGATTTGCTTGAGCGGGAGCTGAGGGTGCACATCAGACATGCTCAGAGACGGATGACCAAAGCTATGCAGAAAGATCTGTATGGAGACCGTGCCTTGCACCCCATTGAACATTATTTGGATGCTTCAATTATTACAAATGGTCTTACCAGGGCATTCTCAACTGGAGCTTGGTCACATCCCTTCAATACAGGTGAAAGGCTGTCTGGTGTAGTAGCAACACTTAGGCGAACAAATCCCCTGCAAATGACAGCTGATATGAGGAAAACACGACAGCAGGTTCAATACACTGGAAAGGTTGGAGATGCTAGATTCCCGTAAGTCTATGTTTTCAACTTCTTGTATGCATTCATTTTTTTTGTCTTTTATTTTAACTTGTAATGTTATGAATTTTTCTTGAGTTAATTGGTTTAACTAAATGCCATGTGTTGAGTCTTAGTCTGAGTTAGTTGGTTTATTTTAACTTGTACTTGTCCATGTTTTCAACTTCTTATATCAGCAGTTTTCATCCTTTTGTGCCAAACTATCTTTTCAATGCCCTTAGATTTTATTACCCCCGGGAGTTTCTATTAGCTTTCATTCTATTCCTATAAAATTCATCCCAAAAAACTTATCAAAACCATAGTTTTTGGAGGTTTGTCCCTTTCTCTCATCAAAGGTAATTTAGCAGAAAATGGAGTGTGTCTTCAAATTGAATGCCCCATTCTATCCTTCATCTTAAACACCTCTACGAAGTTTCATTGAAAACTTTCATCCCTACGCTTGGGGTTGGGGGGTGTTCACTAATATTTTTCAGAGAATAAGGTAAAGTATTTTATTCATTGAACTCCATCATAGACAAGTATAGCCATGTACAGTGAGTCGCTATATGAAGTGTCAACATGCTATACTGGCCTGCTCTTCCTTACAAAAACAGTGATGCAGACTCAAAAATGCTGTTATGAGGTTTGTTACAAAATAGGTCTGTTGTAGCCAGTCAAGAATAAAACATCCTCAACACTTTCCTGGTCACTTCTACTGATTACTTAAAAATTCGTTGGTTTCTTTCTTTCCAAATTCCCCAAGGAATAGCTATTGGAATAGTACTCCACAACAATTTACCTTTTCTGCTAACACCTCAGATCCTTTAAGATTTTAAGTGATCTTCCAAGTTATCTGGACAGCACCAGCTGAGATTGAAGATTTTACAAAAATATGAGAAAAGCTCTCTCACCGATATATGTATGATCACTTAAAGCTTGTATGATTTCGATTTTCAAGAAAAAAACAAACAAACAACTTCCATATAAACAATAACATTTTATTTTTGCTAATATAGTTGTTTTTTATTTTAGAAAAATATGGTGAACACCCCATATTTTTTTTTTGAATTTTCTATATTTTCGTTGTGTTGGGGAAAATTTGCAGTTATTTGTGTTTTGGCTTTCAATCTTTCCAACCTCAATAGATCTCTGTCTTTAGTCCTTTTTTTTCCTTTTTGTAAACCCTTAACTCATAGTTTCCCTTTTGTAGAGATAGTTGATAGACTATTAGTGTGTGTGGTCCCAGTCCCACACTTTATTTTACTGTTTGTTTCTTTATGTTATAGTTATGGTAGTTGGGTCGGTTGGGCCATATTTATTTTCTTTTGTTTCAGTAGGGGTATTAGAGTAATTCTACTTCTTGTAAAGTCACGAGTATAAATAAGATTTAGTGGGGTGGCCATAATCATCTAACCGCACCCTTTCTCTTCTTTCTTCTCTTCTCTCCTCTCTTCTCTTCGAATCTAGGTTGACTTCTCTTCTTCTCTCTAAATTACATCAGAAAACACATTCTTTTCTGGTTCTTTTATTCAAGTTGGCATCAGAGCAAGGCAAATAAAGATTAGGGTTTTCATGTGAGCTTGATCTGGTCGGCTGCATGAGAACTCTTTAGAATTGGATTTTCTGCAGTAGTGCCTGGTTCTTGGAGTATTGGAGACTGCCCAAGGAATTGAAAGATTCTTGGAGATTGTTCGGTGATCAGGAAGAATCAGAGAAAACAGGTGAGACCAAAATTAGGGTTTCAATTGAGGTGACGACCAGTGTTCTTCTGAGAAAGATAAAATCTTTAGTAAGGCCGATCTTGGTTAGAAGTAGTTTAAGCCTCTCTATGAGCAGCGGTTGATAAACCTTTGTCTCCCCTGCTGTTTTCTCCCTTTTTTAAAACCCTACGATCAATTTTTTTGGACTCAAAGACCGACTTTCAGACTGATGATGAACTGGGGAGTTGATTATTGACTGTGGATGCTTTCTTGGAAGGTGACTATCGGCTGAGAATGAGTTCTTGATGACTATTCCTAGCTGTGAATAAATTTTGAGTTGTTTTTTCTTTCAATTCCTTAGGGTTTCAGCATAAAAGAAGTTTTTTTTGGGTTATTTTCTTGAAGTCTTGACCTGTTAGTGCTCTACATGCAATGGAGAAGGCTGGAAGTGAGCTGAAAACTCAAGGGGAAGGACTTTTAGGGACTGGTAGCATGATTGAAAATTCTTTTCAGGTTACCACTGTTAGGTTTGATGGAACCAATTACTTGGAATGGGCCCAATCAGCAATGATGGCCATTGGATATAGAGGTAAATTAGGTTATGTGACTGGGGACACAAAGAAGCCAGCCAAGGATGACATATCACATCCCAAATGGGTTCAAGAGAACTATTTGGTAATGACTTGGCTATGCAACTCTATGCAGCCTCGCATCAGCTGAAACTACTTATGGGCAAAAACAACTAAGGAGATTTGGGACAACATGAAGGAAACATACTCCCAACCTCTTAATGTTGCTAGAGCTTATGAGCTGAAGTGTGAAGTGAATAATCTCAAGCAAGGGGAGAAACTAGTCTCAATTTACTTTGCTACTCTAAAATCCCTATGGCATGAAATTGATCACTTGGAAACTATTGTGTGGGAAAGTTAGAGGGATGCAACAACATATAGAAAGCTAATTGAAACAAATAGAGTGTTTGAGTTCTTAGCTGGTTTGAACTCAGATTTTGACATCGTAANACTGCTGAAATCAACTCAGTGATGGTTCAGTCATTAAAACAGCCCAGTAATCAGTCCAACACCAGCCAAGGCAGACGTTAGAATAGTATACTATCAGTCTAACTACAGCCCATGCAGTCTAACAATTCAGAATCCAAACGAATGTATAGAACCAAGGGATAAGTCCTTCACACCATTGGCCAAAAAACAAAAAAACAAGAACACATACCCTGTCTAGCACCTGTACAAGGGTGCCAACCAACACAACATCGAACATAGAAGAAAGTGAGTCTCTTTCTGCATCGCCCTTTGACTAGGGTTTCCTTGATATTACAACCAAGGAAGAACCCAAAGGAAGAGCCGCAAGTAGTCTGCTAGGGTTTCTCTATCTTCCACGTCCAAGAAATCAAAGAAGGAAAAGAGGACGAAGCAGGTTCAAATAGGAGAGACCGAAATTCTTTTATAGCCCAAAACCTTGCTCTGATACCATGTAATCATTCATGGAGAGAGAGAGATGAGAGAGAGAAAGAGAAGAAGAGGAAGATATGATTGAGAGAAAAAGAAAAAACACTTCTGGTTGCCGCCAGTTCATTATTTATATTAACTTAATATAAAAAGAATGGAGATTACAAGTATGCCCCTAGTGGCACTCCCTTGAAACAAACTAATAAGAAAGAAAGAAAATAACTAACTGATAGCATCTTAAGCTGACGACCCACTAACAGCAACTATAAAATAACAATTAAATAATCCTCACAACAGGAGTTAAATGGATTTTAAATTAATAAAAATTAATTTTAAAGTAACTATTTAATACTTTACCTGTTTCAAATAAAAAGATTTTAAATTAAAATTAATATAAAAAATTAAAAATTGTTAATTATTATTATAAAATAGAACATTTGAACTGTTAACAGACTCTTTCAATTTTTAGTGGTGTAGGTTTGATCTTGCAACTATTAAAAATACTATGTAATGTAACCAGAAAAATGAGTTAAAATAATCTTTTAAAATAATTTACAATAATAAATAGTAATGCGAATGGGGACAGCAGGTTTGCCACCACTTTCTCTAACTTCTCAACAACTCTGGAATTAACGAGTAAAATAATAAGCGTTTTGGGCTTACATGGGTCTAGATCCCCCCTTTCTTTTTCACTGATAGTTGCTCTCCTTTTCTTTGACATTGATGGGAATAGTTCCTTTTGCAGCTTTGTTTCGAGTATCAAAAACAGGTCCTTCCCAACTGTTTTGATCTGTCTTTTGCCACCAAGACAAACTATGCCAAAGCAGAGTTCATGATGACCAAAAGCGGAGGGGTTTGATATTGCATCAAGCCGGCGACCGACCTCTTGAAAGAGACAAAGGCCTGAATTGGGGGGGGGGCTTGTGTTTGTTGAAGAGAGACAGAGGAAGAGACGAGGGATCAATTTTCTTTGAAAAAAAAAAGAAAAAACTAAGAAAATTAAGGGGGAGGGAGGATGGAGAGGGGGCACTGATGTGGACCACATTTCTTTTCTTTTCTTTTTTTGAGTAAGAACATTGCTTTAGTATATAGGTATAGATTCTGTAGCCTGGCCTGATGCTAGGTTGTCATCTTGGTTCAATTACCATTAATATGCTTTTAGTTCCTCAGAACTGCCATGGGCCTATCTTGGGCATACGTTACCAATTTTGCATATCTAGTTCTCTTGTGCTTTGAGGACATGGTTAACTGAATGAATGTCATTGTGTTAAATTATTAACCAACTTTTTTGATAAATGAATATGATTTTATTAATGAAAAGATCAAGAGGTTAAATCATTACAGTTTAGCAATTATTAACTGGCTTTTATTCTTAGAGTAATTAATATTCTGATATTTAGGGATTGGTTGTTGAGTGTTGAATACATGTACAGACTTTCTGTTACTGTTGATATTTATGCTAATTAAGAGTGAAATAAATTCATGGGTTGTGCTAGCTTTGATACATTAGGGATGTAATTTCTATTTGTTGTTCACTGCAGACCTTCATTGCACAAGAACAGATATGCTTGAAGAGACTCTGGGTTTCTAGTAAACCAAGCTGGATGGTTTCATATCGTTCCAATTTGAAGAAGAGAAGAGTATATATAAAACTAATAGAAACTCCTAAACCTGAATATCTTCAAGGAGGGAATGTCCTTAATGTGTATTTCTTGTCTTCTACAATTCCCCTTTGGATTTTGTTTTTTGCACTTGGTGCTTCATCAGATAAGGAGATTGTTGAAATGATTGATCTTGATATTAGTGATGCCACTTTTGTAAATATATTGCTCTCTACCATATGTGATGCTGA